GCTACCTACTGTGTGACCTTGGGCAAAGGAATAAACCTCTCCGAACCTTAGTATCCCTATCTGTGAAGTAGAGACAGGAATTCCCTTTACTCATAGGATGGTCACAGGATTCTGTGAGAGTGGTCAGGTAGTTTTGATCACAGCTCCAGGCATCACTGTCAACACCCTCAGAAGCCACAAAGAGGGCTTCCCCATCTCTATGTTAGGATTCCCTGCAGACCAATGTCTTGAGGGCTTCCAGAACAGGTTCTAGGGCTAACTTGGAGTGGAAAAGAAGTGAGGCCTCTGAGGCCAGACTGTATTCATGCCTCACGGGCACCTGGATTCCCCTCCCATTCTCCACATGGGAGAACTGACACCTACACTGGGGAGGGGATTTGCTCAGTGCAGCTGCCTCTGCTGGTAGCAGGGCTGGGGTCATCCATCTTCACTCCCCCTCAGAAACTTCTTTCAGCTTTACACTCTCAGTACCATACAGAGAACTGAAAGGAACCAGTAAATGATATAGTTTAGGGCAGCCTAACTAACAGCGTGAACATGTAGACCTGGAAGCTTCTGGCTGCCCCATTGCCTACAGTTCCCAGGTGTGTTTGTTGGAGTCAGAGCTGGAGGGGACACGAGGGTCCTTGAGGGTCCTCCCAGAAGCGCAGATGGCCACACCACAGTCACTGCCTCCTGCTGTTCAGAGGGTCCTGGGAAGCCTTCAGCTTACAGGTGTCAGGGCTGCTGGCCTTTCCTGGCCTCTGGGTACCTCCCCAGTGCAGGATGGGAACCTCAGCTCCACCCGATCCACAGCGATCCAGACAAATCCATCAATGCCTGCCTCCATCTCCTAGCCTGTCCACAGTGTGGATCCCTGGTGGAGCTGGGGTCAGGGATTATCTTTTCCAGACAGTGAACACAATGGACTGCAAAGGCCACATGTTCTCTGCCCTGACTACCAACACTGCACTGCTCAGAGTGGCCATAGATGGCAAATGAATGGGCTTGGTCATATGCCAATAAAACTTTATTTACAAGAACAGATCCTGAGACAAATTTACCAGTTGCCTGATTTCGGTCCTGCTGAGTAGGGTCTGACCCTCCTCTGGAACTGGGGTGACTATTCTTTCCTTAGAGGAGTGGAACTCTCCCAGGTTTCACACAGAAAATCCTGATCCAGAAAACTGGTTTCAGAGCAGGACAAGGTAGTTACCCTCTCTGATGTACTGAGGCCCCTGGCTTTCCCCAGGACAGCTTTGCTCTGGCTGCGATACTCAGATGTCTGCTCTATAAGGAAGAGGGGGAGGAAGAAAGAAGAGAAAAAGAGGAGAAGGGGCGGGGAGGAAGGAGGGTCACTGTTTACTGTGTTTTGCACCATGCCAGGCTCTTCCAAGGGGCTTAGTGAGCATCCCCTCTTCTGACCTTCACAACAGCCCAGTGAGGTGGGACCAGAGCTCTTGCTAGGAAGGGATGAGGGCTGGATGGCCCTGTCTAAGGTGCTTCCAGAGCCTGGAGCCTTCTGCTTCATCCCCAGACCATGAGCTCCTGGAGAGCAGACCTGTACCATCTCATCACTGTATCTTCTGTGACCAGCATAGAATGTGTCATTCAGGATTCTGAGCAAACACTAATATCAGCAAATACTGATATTGAATAGATCAATAAATATACCTGTGAATGACAAGTGGGTAGGTGGATGGATGGACACATATATCTAGGGATGGATGGATGGATGGATAGGTAGACAGATGGGCAGACAAATGGATAGAGGGGTAAAGGGTGATAAGTGGACAGATGGATGGATGAACAGACACATCTATAGAAAATGCATAGATGGGTGGATGGATAGATAGATGGACAGCTACATCTATGGATGGATAGATAGACGGGTGGATGGATAGAGGGATAAAGGGTGATGGTGGGCAGATGGATGAATGGACAAATGTACCTACTGGTTGGTGGATGGATAGATTGGTAGGTGGGCAGGTGAGCAGGTGGAAGGACTAATGGCCAGAAGAGCAAATTTCCCCACGTTCATACAGATACCTCAGTCTTCTGTGCCATGACTCATTCTGGTCAACCCAGCCTTCAGGTGAACTAAAGGGAAAAGGCCTCATGTGCTATGACTTCAATTCTGTCAAACCTACCTGCTAGCATCCAAGAGGCAATATGACATCATGTCAAAAATATAATCTCTGACATCAGGAAGCCTACGTGCAAATCTCAGGAAGGCCTTTTCTGGGGCCATGTGACCCCAGTAAATCAACACACCTCTCTGAACCTCACAAAAGCTTGTAACAGAAACTGTCTTTTAGGGTTGCTTGCTGTGAATGGCAGGTGATATATATATAAAGCACGGTGTATGCCTAATCGTCTGCTGGTGTTGTCGGTCATGTTGAGCCAAGGAAAGAGCAAGGTAAGGTTGAACCGGCTATGGTGTGCCATTCTGCATGTGCACCAGGGTCAGACTGGGGCAGGAAGTCAGGTCCAGTCAGTGGTCTGCACATCACTCACCCAGGACCACAGGGAAGGTGAATGTCAAACAAGCCCCAGAGCCAGTGGTGCTTCTCTTGCTAACCTTTTCACAGTCAGCTGGAGCTCAGCTGGGCTAAGTTCCTCACAGAGGCCAGCACCAGGATTGGGAGGCAACGGCGGCCTCAGAGGAGCGCCCTCTCTCTCTCTCTCTCTCTCTCTCTCTCTCTCTCTCTCTCACACACACAGACACACACACACACACACACACACACACACACACACACTCACATGCGAACGCACTCGCCCGACCGCTGT